TAAACTATATAGTTACAGTAATGCTTCTAAGATGAATATAGCAGACCATGCTGAGCAGTCCCAAATTCTATTTTGCTCACAGGCAGAATAAATGTTTGCACTATCTTTAAATTTGCTTTCCTTCTCAGTGTTTTCTATATAATTTATGCTGTTCTCCTAGACAACTGTGCCTTACTGCTAATTTACTTGCCCCTTTTCATTTTTATCATCTGCCTTTACAAAAGAGAACACCATATACAGGCTTGTTGTTTATTATACCTGTACAACTGTATTATTTTATTTGTGCCAAGCAGCTCTACTATTTTCCCTTCTAATTTTTATCAAAAATTCTGCTTCTAAAAACCCTTCTCTGTGCTCCTTCCCCCATCCCCTTCTATAACTTCAGAGTATCAACAGATATTCAAAGCCACAGGATGAATATGCTTTATCTTCCTGGAGCATCAATTTTACTCAGAGATGAGAGGGAGAAGATGTTATTATTAGAGAAAGCAAGTAATTATATTATGCAGTCAAATTGAAAATTCTCATAATTTTAAAAATAAAATCGGAGCTTCAGATAATTTAAAGCTCATTAGGCTTAAAGCAGGCCTTTCTGCTCGAGCCATTAGAATTCTGGAGACACAGATTCCTTTCTTTTACATAGTTGGCCCTCCGTATGCCTGGGTTATGCATCTGTAGATTCAATCAACCATGGATCAAAAATATTTGGGGGAAAAAGCATCTGCAGTGAACATGTACAGACTTTTTTTCTTGTAATTATTCCCTAAACAACACAGAATAACAACTACTTACATAGCATTTACATTGTACTACGTATTATAAGTAATCTAGAGATGATTTAAAGCAGGGGTCCCCAACCCTTGGGCCATGGACCAGTGGTAAGTCTGGGGCCTGTTAGGAACCCAGCCACATAGCAGGAGGTGAGCAAAGGACAAGCAAGCATTACTGCCTCAGCCTTACCGCCTGTCAGATCAACATTGGCATTAGATTCTCAAAAGAGCACAAACATGTGAACTGTGCATGCGGGGATGTAGGTTGTGTGCTCCTTATGAGAATCTAATGTCTGATAATCTGAGGTGGAGCAGTTTTATCCCCAAACCATCCGTCCCACCCCGACCTGGAAAAATTGTCTTGCATGGAACTGGTCCCTGGTGCTAAAAACGGTTGGGGACTACTGATTTAAAGTATATAAGAGGGCCAGGCACAGTGGTTCACACCTGTAATCACACACTTTGGGAGGCTGATGCAGGCAGATTACTTGAGGTCAGGAGTTCAAGACTAGCCTGACCAACATGGTGAAACCCCACCTCTACTGAAAATAGAAAAAACTTAGCCAGGCGTGATAGCCAGTGTCTGTATTCTCAGCTACTCGGGAGGCTGAGGTGAGAGAATAGCTTGAACCTGGGAGGCAGAGGTTGCAGTGAGCCAAGATTGTGCCACCGCACTCCAGCCTGGGCAACAGAGCGAGACTCCATCTCAAAATAAATAAATAATAAAATAGAAGGATATGCGTAGATTATATGTAAATACTATGCCAGTTTATATCAGAGACTTGAACATCTGAGGACTTTGGTATTTGCAAGAGGTTTTGAGACCAATCCCAATGGATACTGAGGGACAACTGTATACCTTTAAGGATTCTCTGGTGGAAAAGTTTGAAAAACAGGGCTCTAAGACATTCACCCCTTTAATTGCCCCTCAATTAGCCATTAATTCCTCCACAACCTATGGAATGAGCCCTCGCCCTCAGACTGTGGACTCTGAGATGCCTTTCACACAGCCATCTTTTGCTCAGGAGCTGTATGTCCTATAAAGAACAATTTACAAGTGATGATATTATTTTAGACATTGGCATTTGAAGCATGCATAACCTGAAACACAAAAGTTTAAAAAAAATGGTTATGGAACATAACTTAAAGGCCAATCAACTGCTTTAGCTGTAAGTCCTCTGTACAGAATTAGCCCTAGGGCACTAGAGTCTACAATCACTACCAGAGACCTGCTTTTTTCAAGATCCATTCCAAATATCAGAGCCTTAATTTGTAATGAAATTCAATAGAATAAAGATATGCTATGGAAAATATTAGACTATTTTAGACTCTTGTCATTTATAGAGTGAAAAAAAAATTCAGTGTCTTAAGTCGACTTAGTATATACACAAGAATACATTTCCCTTTAGGTCATTCATATTTCTTTAATTGAAAACGGTTTCAATTGCAAAAATTAACCTAAAATATTGAGAGGTGGACCCATGAGTTTTGAAAGAAAATGGCTAATTGGTGAAACCAATTTTCCTCTGATGTAATATTTACTTGCTCGATTTATTATTCAAATATTTTTATTATGTTCCTAACCTTCAAGACATTCCTTAAATGCAATAAAGCCCCAGACTTGCTTTTTCAATAGCTACAACACTGGCATCCATTGCTAGGTAGTAGGATCATTGGAATGGAACATGTATATTTAACGAAGGATACAGCAATGTTTAAATATCACATCAAAAGCTCACTTTCAAATACAATTTTCTCTTCCCATTCTAGTGATAATTGAACTATTTCATTTTGGGCTCTCCACTATGTGTGATTTGGTTAAAATCAATGCAAGGGACCCATTTGAAAGCAGCAGGAAGTCACTGATCACGTAAAATCCTGCCTTACCAATAGTACATACTCAGGAAAGGTATACTGAATTGATTTGCCAATTTGACAAAATATATTTGTGAGAGGGGCAGAATTAGGATATTTCTTTGCAAGTAAGCAGTCTCATCTAACTATAATGGACCTCCTTCACTCAATAGCAACAAGAATACAAAACTTAAATCAACAAACCAACGAATTCTGTTGCTAGGTTCCAAAATCAATGTGAAAAAAAATTTTGGAGCAATACCTAAGCTAAATCTGGAAAAATAACCAATTTTTATTTAGCACAGTGCATTGTATAGAGAGGCAATCAATGAATACTTTGTGACTGTGACAGTGACAATACTTTGTCAGTATTTCTCAAAGTATGCTCCTTTGACCACATATATGAAGTGCTACCCCATTCAATTAATTCATGGAATATTTGTTACGTGCTCTAGGCACTGGGGATACAGTAGTAAGCAAACAAGACAAAAATTCCTACTTTCCTGGAACTTAGTCTCTAGTTGGAGTGGGCAAAAGACAGACAACAGGTAAGTAAAGTATATAATATGTTAGTGGTAAATGCCTAAGAGAAATTCAATGCAGGAAGAGGGTATTAAATGTTGAAAGGGAATTAAAAATGCAGATAGGATAACCAGGGAAGAGCTCCTGAGAAGGTAACTTTTGAGTAAAGATGGAAAGTGAAAATGTAAGTCCTGCAGCTATCTGACGGAAAAGCATCTTAGACAATAGTGAAAGCATGTGCAAAAGCCCTGAGTCAGGAATTTCAAGAAACAGCAAAGGGGCCAATCAGGCTGTGCATGTGAAGGTAAGAAATATAAGGGCAGACCACAAAAGTTAGGTCATGGTAAAGACTGTTTTCTCCATTGAAAGAGATGGGAAGCAATTACTGTTTTGAGCAGAGGACTGACTGGACCTGATTTGTGTTTTAACAGGTCTGCTCAGGCTGCTCTGGAGAGCAGACAGCAGGGGAACAAGGGCAGAAGCAGAAAGAGGAGCTACTTGTTTTAAAATGCAGAGCTGGTAATTTGTGTTTTTAACAAGCTCTCTACATGATTCTTAGGCACAGTCAAATTTAAGAACTACAACTAAATTACCTGAGCAATTGAGACAAAAATTGATTTTACAATCTGATTATTTGACAATCACTAATCGACTTCCAGTGGAAAAATGAACCTAAATCAATTGTACTAAATTCAGCTGACAACCTGTCAATTCGGCCATGCAGTCTCCAAACAGTACTTCAGGAAGAGGACTTTCAAGGAATCTTGGCCCCTTGTTCTGCGACACAGGACACCATCTGAGAGGTCTCCTCTACAGAGAAGGAAACTAGAGCTAATGCATTCACACAGTGGTGATGTATTTGATAAGGTCACAGAACAGATGCCCCATAATATGAGAAGTTTTAGAATGCAGCTAAAATAGAGCATATGGGTGGGGACTTTTCTCAATTTTTTTTAACATAAAGATTTTCATTTTATTTTTACACGGAAGCAAGTGAGCACTTGTGTGTCATTCTAAATACATATATAAATTCTAAATTTATATTCTAAGTTTATATATTCTGTATATAAATTCTTTATAAATTCCATATATATTCTATAATATATATTCTAGACTTGTTTATATGTGTATCTCACAATAAAATTTATAATTAGTACTTTTAATACATTATAGAAATCTATATTCACAACAGTCTTAATTCGTTGTGATTGAGTTTCACAATAGTAACAACTAGCATTTATATAGCACTTGATTAAGATAATAATAGGACCTAGTTCCACAAACCATAAATAAACGTTTATTTCTACTTTATAGCCACACTACACACATACACATCCCAATATTTTAACTGGTTTGCAATTTAGTCAATAAGTCTTCTACTTATTTTTTCTATTTCTTATATGCCTCTGAATTATTTCCTATGCCTCCCCTGAACTCTGTACATAGTAGGCACACAAATAAATTCTTAACTGACCACTGACTAGCCAATCCAGAGTGAGCAAATATTTAGTTCAGAGAATAAGTTAACGAATACTGGGTTCCCCTATTTATTTGACTTCTTTGGCTCCATTTAAAAACAACATTTTAGAAATTTCAAGGGGATAAATCTTAATAACTGGAAGGAACATAAATATATTTAAAGTGGATTTACTGAAGCAGTGATTTAATTTTCATGAGAATAATTACATTCTGCCGCTATTTTTCCCTAAGCACAATTTCCCTAAGGTATTTCATCATTAAGGGCTGATTCAATTTTTTAAAAGCATTCATTATTAACAGTATGATTACCCAGATACAGGTTATTCTTTTGGATAGAGTTCAGGTAATGGGTAACAAATAATATATACTGATTACCTTCTTGAGTGGAAGAAGCCTCTAAGTGCTGAAGCTTAAGGCCGGTGTCTAATCTTTGAGGCTTTGTATACAGAAATAAATAGCAGAGGACACAGACACTGATGACAAAGGCAAGTAAAACAAGGGCAGCAATTCCTAATCCAATCAAGGCACCAATGCTGAGGAAAACAGAAAAAAACATGTCACACATAGTGGTTTACACTGGTTAAACTAAAGAGAAAGTGAAAACATATTGTTAGTTCTTGTTCTCAGTCATTCATAACCAAATTGTATTTTAGCATAAACAGTAACTGATTGAAATCTATAGCTCACCTTTTTCCACCACCAAATTCTTATATTTCTCTATAAGATTTTCAAGCCCCTTTAAATTTATACATTACCTTTTTTCTTCTTTTTTGAGATTGTGTCTCACTCTGCAGCCCAAGGTGGAGTGCAGTGGTGCAATCTTGGTTCAATGCAACCTCTGCCTCTTGGACTCAAGTGATTCTTGTTCCTCAGCCTCCGGAGTAGCCAGGACTACAGGTGCACGCATCATGCCCAGCTAATTTTTTGTATTTTAGTAGAGACAGGGTTTCACCATGTTGCCCAGGGTGGTCTCGAACTCCTGAGCTCAGGCAATCTGCCAGCTTTGGCCTCCCGAAGTGCTGGGATTACAGGTGTGAGCCACCATACCTGGCCTATACTTTACGTTTTTTTTTTTTTTTTTTT